CCGCCGCGCCGGTGCCGCGCATCCCGCACCCGGACAAAAGCCTTCCCCGTTCCAACATCCCAGTCGCCCAGCGCGGACTCTGACACTCCTGCGGGCATCTCCCTTCGCGCGCCCCCCGCCCCTGTGCCAAGACCCACGCAAACACGCCGCCCCACTCAGCTCTTTCCATCCCCGGTGCCAAAACTTCTCGGAGCAGGTGCAGCCCGGCGCCCGGCAGGTTCGGGCTGGCCCGGCGCCCCCTCGCTCACCTTATCCAGGCAATTGACTTTCTCCGTGGGATACACGACTTTTCCGCAGCGGGCGCACTGGGGGTTCATTGTCGCGGTTCCCGGGGGCGGCGGCTGCTGCGGCGGCGGCGTCTGGGGGCTCCGNCGTCGCCGCCGCGCAGGCCAAACCCACCGGCGCGCCCCGACCGAAGTGGCAGTGAACGAGCACGTTGGGCACCCGGGGAGGGAGGAGGAGAGGGCGAGCGGGGGGAGGAGGAGGGCAGGGACCCGGAAAGCTCCGCAGACTGCCGCGGGCTGCGACTGTGCGGCCTGGGGAGCCAGCCTCGCGCCGCCGCAGCCCGGGGGCGCCCAGGTGGGCGGCGACGAGGGCCGGAGCGGGACGGAGGAGGGAGCGGGACGGGGGTGGCACCAATGGAGGGGGAGGAGGACTCACCCCCGCGCACACCCTGCCCTTCTCCCCCACCCTCTTTTTCCCCAACTGGGTGCACCCCCTCCCCAAGGCTGTTATCCCTGGCACCCGTAGGTCGCGGGGAGCCGAGTGCGCCCGCTTTTCTCCTCCGACCCAGGGGACAGCGGGCAGCGCCGAGTCCCGGGTGGATCCAGGCTGTCCCAGCTGCACGCAGCGACGCGCTCGGCCCCCGGAGCCGGGAGACCCGCGGGGAACCCAGGGACTCAGGTCCCCGCGGCGCCGGGGATGGTGCCGCGCCCGCTCCCACGGGCCTTTCCAAGAGGTCGCGTCCCCCGAGTGTGTGCCTGAAGTCCTAGGACCCTGGGTGAGGAAGAGCCTTCTTCTAGCTGCCACCCCCTGCGCTTTTTATACCTGTCCTTGGAGAACGACTGGTCATTTTAGGCCGGAATTAAGCCTCGCTTTATTAATAAAGGGTCGTCGTTCATGGGGTGGAGCGGGTGTCATACACTGTATGGTTTCGCCGTTAAGCAGCACAAGGATCCGCGAAAAGTTCTCCACCTGAGTTAAGGAGAGCTTTGACAGACACAGTCCAAACCAGAAGAGCCAGAAAATCCAGCTGAAGGCTTAGAAGAAGATGAAACCAAATGGAAAAGCACTTTTTTTGTTTTAAAAAAAAAAAAATTCAGGTTATCGGAGTCGCTTTAGGAGAGGCAGCAAACTGGAGCTCCAGTGCCTGGGTTCAAAGGAGGACTCTGCCATTTCCTAGTCACGTGATCTTGTGCAAATTCTTAGCCTCTTAATGCCTCAATTTTCTAATCTACCAAATGGGGATAAGGATAGAGCTAGGAATCAGCTCCTACTGGGAGGATTAAATGAGTCAGCAGTTCTGCAGTGCTTCAATCCGCCTGGTTCCTGGTAAGCACTTCATGAGAGTCAGCTAGGATTATTATAAATTGGTCATAAAACAGAAGCAAACACATTCCGTTGCTAGCACACAGATTAAGACTCTAATGCCACATAGCAACTACTGTGACAAATATTTCTGTCATTTCAAAAAAAATCATAGCTGCAGGTTTTCATGAGAAAAGAACTATTGAATTCTGAGCCTCTTAGGCAGGCTGCACTGATGAACATATTCATAACAATGCTGTGCTGTTTGACTTTTCAGAAGGGGTAACTTCCTAAAAGTTTTCACGAAATGCAACAACCTCTGAAGCATGCATTGCTGTGTTCACAGGTCCACCTCAAAAGCAAATAAAATGATAATTTGCTGTAAGAAAGGATCAGTTTGCTTTTAAAAGCACTTCAGAGTTCATCAGAAATGCCTGAGGGGAAAAAGTATTTATGTGATCACCAGAAAGGTAGTAATTTTTTTAGCATTTAGATTTTCATAACTGTAGACCATAAAATATAGTTTAAATATCTTATTCTCTTTTTTAAATGGTAAGCACAAAATTCCAAAGAATGATGGTGGTAAGTGGCATTTATAGCTAATTACATCACGTCTTTTAACTATAAAGTCGTATAATTTCTTACCAAACCAGCACCTATCACAATGCCTGACACGTAGTAGGTACTAATTAAATGTTTACTGAAAGAAAGTGTGAATAAAACAAATGAATACATTACAACTAACTGGGATGGGTCATTTGAAGAACAAGCTCAAAATTATATTTTCTTCTCATATCTGTTTCTCTTACTCTTTTCATTTTCTGCATCAAACCAGTTTCTAAGTTTCTCAATGCCATTTTGCTGATGTAAGAGTTTTAAAACCATCCATATTAAAGGCCCTTCTTTATTTTCAAATTCAAAGTACTATAAACAGAATTAGCAGACACCTGTCATCTGACCCAGCCTTCCTCCTTCAAGCAGATAAATGATTTAGTTGTCCACTAGGGAGACCTTTTGCCCTTCCATGTGTTTTTCACTTGACTGGTCAAGAAATAGTTCCTTGTGATAATTATACCCCAATATCTCTAATTTAAATCTTTTTCTGCTGGCATGGACATCCACAGATATAAAAAATAACTGATCATCATCACCCTCACAAAAACATTTATATGTTTATAAAGTTAAATTTTTTCTTTAGCTAAAATTCCCAGATCTGTTCACTCTTCCCTCTGGGGCCTATTTACGCAGAAACTATTGAAGACTTTATAATCACCTTTATTATTAGAGCTACATAGCTTGAACTCCAAATTAAAAGTTTTGAAGAGTAATTAATATTACAAAAAGCCAAATAGTGGCTTTGGCAAACATTGCCTTGGGTGCAGACTGTGGTAGACTGTATTATATTAGTCCACAATTTTTTTCTCTTCCATCCTAGCAACACTTTCTGCAGCAAAATGTACTTCCCCACTGCAATGACACTGACCTTGACCGTGTGACTTCCTTTGGCCAATGGAATGTGAGTGGACATGACATATGTTGTATTGGAGCAGAAGCTGTAAGTGCACTTGCTTAGTTTGCCCCTATTCTCCCACCCCTTTGAGCTTTGGCCTTTGGCCATGAACAAAGCGTACCTCAGGAAGTGGCTACTTCTTTGACTTTTGTCCAAAAATGAGAAGACTTGTCTGGACGGTAGAGCCCAACTAAGCTCAGTAAGCCACATCATGCCCAGCAGAGCCACAGCAAGCCCACAGCCCTCACATAAGGGGAATAAGAAATAATTGTTGTAAGCCACTGAGATTTGGGGGATTGTTTGTTACTGCAGCCAAATCTGACTAATACACTGCTGTAGATTAGATGACCCCCCTCAACCTCATTGAGGCTTAATCCCCACTGTAACTGTTGAGGGTGGGAAATCCTATTGTGGTAATTGAAAGGTGAGGCCTTGAAGAGGTGATTAGATTGTAGGACTGTGCAGTAGTGAATGGATTAAAAATGGTGGTCAGGGGCATGGTTCTGAGGGCTTTAAAAAGAGAGTGAATGAGAAGTTTGCTCTCTCTGCTTCTGTCTCTGTGTGAGTCCCTGCCATCACTGAAATCACCACCAAAGAAAGCCATCACCAGATATGTTCCCTGGACTTTGGACTTTCCAGCCTCTGAAACTGTAAGCAATGAACTTGGTTTTCTTACAAATTACCCAGTTCCATGTATTTTGTTATAAGCAACAGAAACAGACTGATGCATACACTAATGATGAGAATTGAAGAGAAATGTTTTCTACTTCTTCATCAACAACAAGGAACTGATTAATTTACATGAAAGTTTCAATATATGTTTTTTTATTTTTCTAAGAAGTATGCTGTTAGAAGTATAGTGTCGTAACCAGT